TGTATTTAAAACATTAATTGTATGAACGCATAAAATAATTAAAATTTTACGAGCAAAATGTTTTGGAAATATATGAATGAATGTACAAAATAGTCAGCAAAATGTTAATTATAAAGTTTATACATTAGGCACCAATCGTCGGCAATCAAGCCGTTAATTGTTTTCAATATATAACAAAAAATGAAGTGATGTTTTGAAAAAAAGCAAATCGGTTTTCTTTGTCAGATCACTGTCAGGAGAGACCCAAAGAAAATCACATATTTGTTGCTCAATAGACTAATAAATATTTCTTAAGTAAAACACTGCCCTATGGTTTGTGAATAGCAGTGAATCGTGCAATATATTCAGTATTCAAACAGAAATGCTTGTTAAACTAAAAATTCATTTAAAGTTAAGTATAAAATTTGGGTTTTAATTGAGTATAAAATAAAAAAATACATAAAGATTATAAAAAGATTATACATTAATGTTTCAAAGAATTGTCACTTTTATGACATTAAGGCAAGAGTTGTCCAATAAATTATATTTATTATTAGAAAACTGATGGGAAATATGAGACGACACTTGCGGTCAATTTCATTAGCAATATCTTGCGGTTTGGCTATAAATACGGGCGAAAATATATTAGTTTTGCTGGTTTTTGGCGTTAGTCTCGACCGATTCAATGTATGATCAAGTGTGAGATTTGGCACAATTAGTTCAATGCCGCCATCGCTTCCCGTCCTTATCATTGAACCTCTTTTTTGAGTCAAAGGACTCGGAGGCGGCTGTCAGTCATATAAATGGATAATATTATAAGACAAAGACTAAACATTGCATTAAATTAATCAAAATATATTTAATTGTGATTTACCTGAAGAAATATATCACTGTTTACAGTGCTATACATTGAATCGCAGTAACTATTGACTGAATTATTACTTAAAGTCCTTTTCAAACCATTGCTATTCTGTATATTATTCTTCTTATTAGCCTTTGATTTGTTTGTTCTCCTCTTCTCCTTATGATAGATGAAGTTTACGGTCGCGTATTCAACGAGTGATGCGAATATAAATACTATTCAATACAAATAGACCATAATTAGATGTTTTGCGATCAATAACCAAGCACAATTTAGTATACTTGTGCAAACAATAATCCAAATATCGAGGGCATGTATGTAGGAAACTCTGGGCAACTTATCGCGAGCGCTCTTAGCGCTGGTGACCAGTGTTAACATTGTGGTGATGCCGAGCGTGACTCTGG